AATTCTCCCCTTTTCCCATTTTCCCAGGCTGGAATGGGTGGAAATCATCAAATTTTGGACCCTGGAACTCAATGAGTTAGAAGAGAGTTGTTTCTCTTTTCCACCCCACATTCACTTTAAACCACAGAATCCTCAAACGTCTTGGGTCACCTTCAAACACCATTTTTTTTTTAAATTCTCCCCTTTTTCCATTCCCCAGGCTGGAATGGGTGGAAATCATCAAATTTTGAGCACAGGACACTCAATGGGATGGAAGGAAGAGCTGCTGCTCCTTTCCACCCCATACTCACTTTAAACCACAGAATCCTGAAATGTCTTGGGTCACCTTCAAACACCTTTTTTTTTTTTTAAATTCTCCCTTTTTCCCATTTCCCCAGGCTGGAATGGGTGGAACTCATCGAGTTTTGAGCTCTGTAGATTCGATGGGGGTGGAAGGAAGAGTTGTTTCTCTTTTCCACCCCATGCTCACTTTAAATTATGGAAACCTCAAACGTCTTGGGTCACCTTCAAAGACCCTTTTTTTTTTTTAATTCTCCCCTTTTCCCTGTCCTTCCCCAGGCTGGAATGGGTGGAAATCATCAAATTTTGGACTCAGGAGACCAAGAGCTGCTGCTCTTTTCCACCCCATACTCGCATTAAATCACAGAATCCTCAAACATCTTGGCTCACTTTCAAACACCATTTTTTTTTGTTTTTTTTTAAATTGTCCTCTTTTCCCCATTTCCCCCAGGCTGGAATGGGTGGAAATCATCGAGCCCCGCACCCGGGAGCGCATGTACGCCAACCTCCTGACGGGCGAGTGCGTGTGGGACCCTCCGTCGGGCGTGCGGATCAAACGCACCAACGAGAACCAATGGTGGGAGCTCTTCGACCCCAACACCTCGCGCTTCTACTACTACAACGCCACCACGCAGAGGACGGTGTGGCACCGTCCCCAGAACTGYGACATCATCCCGCTGGCCAAGCTGCAGACGCTGAAGCAGAACACGGAGTCGCCGCGGGCGTCGACGGAGAACAGCCCCGGGCGGAGCAGCAATGTCAGCCGCGAGGGCAGCACCAGCTCCTCGCTGGAGCAGGAGTTGGAGGGYGGAGAAAAAGGGCAGGAGCAGCGATCGATTCGACAGACGGGGCAGTATTCCACGGTGAAGGAGGAGGTGGAGAGGTAAAAAAGGGAGTTTGTGGGTTTTTCGGGAATTCTGGTGGTGGGGAAGAATGGGGGGATCGTCCTGGTGGGTTTGGGGTGGTGGTGATTGAGGGTGGTTCTTGCAGTTGGATGTTCATGGGTGGTCACAGGTGGAGTTGCTGGAAAATGAGGAGAAAGAGGGGAAAATATGGGGAAGTTGGATACTTGGAAAAATGAGAAATATCAGGAATTTGAATTCTTGATAAAGTGAAAATGAAGGGAAAATATCAGGAAGTTGGATCCTCTGAAAGATGAGAAAGAGGGGAAAAATGGATCCTTGGAAAAATGAGAAATTGGTCAAAAAATCAGGAAGTTGGATCTTTGGTAAAATGAGAGAGAGTCAAAAATATCAGGAAGTTGGATCCTCGGAAAAATGAGAATTATCGGGAAGTTGGATTCTTGATAAAATGAGAAATATCAGGAATTTGGATTCTTGATAAAATGAGAAAGAGTCAAAAATATCAGGAAGTTGGATTCGTGATAAAATGAGAAATATCAGGAAGTTGTATCCTTGGAAAAATGAGAAATAGCAGGAAGTTGGATCCTCAGAAAAATGAGAAAGAGGGGAAAACATTGGGAAGTTGGATACTGGGAAAAATGAGAAATGTCAGGAAGTTGGATCCTTGATAAAATGAGAAATAGAAGGAAGTTGTATCCTTGGAAAAATGAGAAATGTCGGGAAGTTGGATCCTCGGAAAAGCGAGAAAGAGGGAAAAATATTGGGAAGTTGGATCCTTGGAAAAATGAGAAGTATCAGGAAGTTGGATCCTTGGTAAAATGAGAAAGAGGGAAAAATATGAGGAAGTTGGATCCTGGGAAAAATGAGAAATATCAGGAAGTTGGATTCTTGATAAAATGAGATTGAGGGGAAAATATCGAGAAGTTGGATCTCTGGAAAAATGGGAAATATCAGCAAGTTGGATCCTTGGAAAAATGAGAAATATCGGGAAGTTGGATCCTCGGAAAAATGAGAAATATCAGGCAGTTGAATTCTTGATAAAATGAGAATGAGGGGAAAATATCAGAAAGTTGGATTTTTGGAAAAGTGAGAAATATCAGGAAGTTGGATCCTCTGAAAAATGAGAAAGAGGGAAAAATATCAGGAAGTTGGATCCTCGGAAAAATGAGAAGGAGGGGGAAATATCAGGGATTTGGATTCTTGGAAAAATGAGAAATAGGGAAAAATATCAGGGATTTCGATCCTCGGAAAAATGAGAAATAGGGAAAAATATTGGGAAGTTGGATCCTTGGAAAAATGAGAAATATGAGGAAGTTGTATCCTTGGAAAAATGAGAAATATCAGGAAGTTGGATTCTTGGAAAAATGAGAAATATGAGGAAGTTGGATTCTTGATAAAATGAGATTGAGGGGAAAATATCGAGAAGTTGGATCCTTGGAAAAATGGGAAATATCAGGAAGTTGGATTCTTGATAAAATGAGAAATACCAGAAAGTTGGATTCTTGATAAAATGAGAATGAGGGGAAAATATCAGGGATTTGGATCCTCTGTAAAATAAGGAAAAAAAGGGGGAAACATCAGGAAGATGGATTCTTGGAAAAATGAGAAATAGGTAAAAATATCAGGAAGTTGGATTCGTGATAAAATGAGAATGAGGGGAAAATATCAGGAAATTGGAAAAATGAGAAATATCAGGAATTTGGATCTTTGGAAAAGCGAGAAAGAGGGAAAAATATCAGGGATTTGGATCCTCGGAAAAATGAGAAATATCAGGAAGTTGGATCCTCAGTGAAACATGGAGAAAGAGGGGAAAATACCAGGAAAAGGTGTTTTTCCATTTTAGGCAAAAATATTTTATGGGTGGTTCCTCTGGCGTGAGCCTTTGTGGGTGTCGACCCAGGAGGATTCTCTGAAAAATGAGGAGAAAGAGGGAAAAATATCAGGAAGTTGGATCCTTGGAAAAATGGGAAATATGAGGAAGTTGGATTCGTGATAAAATGAGAAAGAGGGAAAAATACCAGGAATTTGGATCCTCTGTAAAATAAGGAAAAAGAGGGGAAAACATCAGGAAGTTGGATCTTTGGTAAAATGAGAAAAAGGGATAAATATCAGGAATTTGGATATGTGATAAAATGAGAATGAGGGAGAAATATCGGGAAGTTGGATTCTTGATAAAGTGAGAATGAGGGAAAAATATCGAGAAGTTTGATCCTTGGAAAAATGAGAAAGAGGGAAAATATCAAGAAGTTGGATCCTGGGAAAAATGAGAAATAGGGAAAAATATCAGGAAGTTGGATCTTTGATAAAATAAGAAATATCAGGAATTTGGATCCTTGGAAAAGTGACAAAGAGGGAAAAATATGAGGAAGTTGGATTCTTGGTAAAAGATGGAAAAAGAGGGAAAAATACCAGAAAAAAAAGGTGTTTTTCCATTTTAGGCAAAAAATGTTTTAGGGGTGGTTCCTCTGGCTGGACCAATCATGGGTGTCCACTCGGGTGGATTGGCTGAGAAATTAGGAGAAAGAGGGAAAAATATCAGGAAGTTGGATCCTGGGAAAAGTGAGAAATATCGGGAAGTTGGATTCTTGATAAAATGAGAAATATCAGGAATTTGGATCCTTGGAAAAGGGAGAAAGAGGGAGAAATATCAGGAAGTTGGATTCTTGATAAAATGCGAATGAGGGGAAAATATCATGAAGTTGTAACCTTGGAAAAATGAGAAATATCAGGAAGTTGGATCCTTGGAAAAATGAGAAGGAGGGGAAAATATCAGGAAGTTGGATTTTCAAAAAAATGAGGAAATAAGGAGGAAAAATATCGGGAAGTTGGATTCGTTATAAAATGAGAAAGATGGAAAAATATCAGGAAGTTGGATCCTCGGAAAAATGAGAAATATCATGAATTTGGATCCTTGGTAAAATGAGAGAGAGGGAAAAATATCGGGAAGTTGGGTTCTCAAAGAAATGAGGAAAAAGAGGGGGAAAATATTGGGGATTGGATCTCGGAAAAATGAGAAATATCAGGAAATTGGAATCTTGATAAAATGAGAATCAGGGAAAAATACGAGGAAGTTGGATCTTCGGTAAAATGAGAAAGAGGGAAAAATATCAGGAAGTTGCATTCTTGGAAAAATGAGAATGAGGGGAAAATATGAGGAAGTTGGATCCTCGAAAAAATGGCAAATATCAGGAAGTTGGATCCTCAGTGAAAAATGGAGAAAGAGAGAAAAATACCAGAAAAAAAGGTGTTTTTCCATTTTAGGCAAAAATGTTTTAGGGGTGGTTCTTCCAGCTGGACTATTAATGTGTGTCCACTCAGGTGGATTCTCAGAAAAATGAGGAGAAAGAGGGAAAAATATCAGGAAGTTGGATCCTCGGAAAAATGAGAAATAGGGAAAAATATCAGGGATTTGGATTAGTGATAAAATGAGAATGAGGGGGAAATATTGGGAATTTGGATCCTCCAAAAGACATGGAGAAAGTGGGAAAAATACCAGGAAAAGGTTTTTTCCCAGCTTAGGCAAAGATATCCATGGGATGGAGAATCCGTGGGATGGAGGATCCATGGGATCCGTGGGATGGAGGATGTGTCCATCCCTGGAAAATGCGATGTTTTGGGGGAAAATGGGGTGGAAATGGAAAAAATGGGGGAAATGGCGTGGAAAATGGAAAGGAAAAATGTGATGTTTTTGGGGAAAATGTGTTGTTTTGGGGGAAAATGTGGCATTTTTAGGGAAAATGTGGTGGTTTGAAGGAAAATGTAGTGGTTTTGAGGGAAAATATGGTTTTCTGAGGGAAAACGTGGTAGTTTTGGGGAAAAATGTGGTGATTTGGGGGAAAATGCGGTGTTCAGAGGGAAAATGTGATGGTTTTGGGGAAAATGTGGTTTTGAGGGAAAATGCAGTGGTTTTGGGGAAAACGTTTTTTTGAGGGGAAATGTGATTTGGGGAAAAATGTGGTGGTTTGGGGGAAAATGTGGTGTTTTGAGGGAAAATGTGATGGTTTTGGGGAAAATGTGTTTTGAGAGAAAATGTGGCATTTTGGGAGAAAATGTGGTTTTTAAGGGAAAATGTGGTGGTTTTGGGAGAAAAATGTGGTGTTTTGGGGAAAATGTGGTAATTTGGGGAAAAAATATGGTGATTTGGGGGAAAATGTGGTGGTTTTAGTGAAAATGTGGTGGTTTTGAGGGAAAACGTGGTTTTGAGGGAAAATGTGTTTTGGGGAAAAAATGAGGTGTCTTGTGGGAAAATGTGGCATTTTGGAGGAAAATGCAGCATTTTGAGGGAAAATGTGGTGGTTTTGGGG